AATTTAAGTTTTAAAGTATTGTTCTCGGACAAGTTCATTTGGTGCGAAGACAGAGTAGTAGAAGCATTACAGAAGAAATTACATTGGAATTGACGAAGCGTGTCCGTCCACCTCCGTAACCTAACTCCATTAGGCGATTGCATCGATTTCCGAATTGGGAAATCGCCTTTCAAGAAACGGACATTCCTCTGATTATTCCATTAATCATATCACCTGCATTCATTTTTGTTTTTGTTTCGTTTTCGATTTTTCGGTTTCGTTCATTTGTTTTCTTCGGATTTGTACACGCGAAGATAGCAAATTGAGAAACTAGTTTATCGGAATTCGACGACATATTCTGCACGCTCGGCGACATCTAATCACCTTTACCAGTATTTTCAATCACGAACTGCAATTACCGCAAAACGAGAAACATCGAAGACGAACGCAACTCAGACGACATAAATTAATTTCTATTTTTAACCTTCAACTTTCATCCACATCAGATTACTTACATTTAAGTAACATTTGATCACTTAATGCACTCTTATTCATTAAATTATTCATTCTTACTATAGTTTACATGTACATATTGTATTAAGATGTATATATAAATTACATATAATTTAGAAGAATTTAAATTAATTGAAACAGAAATTTAATAAAAATATCGTAATCATTTTTTTATGTATAAAATAAAATGAAATTAATATTCAAAAAATATTAATTAGTTTTATTCGAGTTAATTGATTGAAAATAGTCACAGTTGTTTAAAGACATGTGTATGTATCCCTGAAGAGACTGTTAAGAAAAAACTTTCTTCTTCCACGAATAATTCGTTCTGACGTTTTCCAAAAAAAAATAAAGAGATCCGATCGTGGTACGAATAACTCAAGTTCTTCCTGCGTGCAATTCGACTCGGGTTCCTCTCCTCTACTCTCCGTTTAATTAACAACCATCGGAATCTCTTGGTAATTAGTCTATCCTCTAAACATCTGGGCGTCTCCTATTGAAACACAAGAAAGCAACGGTAAATTGTAGTCGGTAATACTCTAACACACATTCAATTTACAAGTGTAACCAACAAGGAAAGCTAATGTTAAGACTAGTTATTAGATAGAGCATGAGTGATATCGTTTAAATTGGTGAAAGTGAGATGGATCACATAAGGTAATCACGTCCAATTAAGAAGAGGTAGTAATTAAGAAGGCGTGTATAAACAAAATCAATCTACACGAGTGTGGAATACCGAATTGACATTATAAGGTACTAATTTGTATGCATATGTGTGTGTGTGAGGTAATTGGAGAGTGGCCCTCACGCGTTACGGAACCATTGATTAGGCTTGGAGAAAATTATACATTTTACGCGAGCAATCATCATCAGCGGGTCCGGCGTAAGTGAAGCTGTGCGCGCGCGATCTTCACTCGATGATTATTTTATATAGTCCTTGTCCGCCCCTTCCTGGATAATCACCGGACCCCAGCAGGACCGTAATACCTCTGTATTTACCTAAATACTCTGTCTTCAACTCATCCAACATTTACATAGTATTTTTACATTACTTGGACGTACACAAATTGTCGAATTGTAATTTAAAGTTTGACATCTGCCTGTCGTTAAAGACAATCTTGTACGTAGTCAAATGTTGTTAAGCTCTTGGAAAGTAGCAAATTATCATTTTTTTCTTTAAATGCAAAATACGTAAACTATACTTGAATTACATAATTAATAACATTGAAAATGACATAAAGATTGTCAATTAATTATATTATACTGTATGTTTATTTATTAAATATTGAAATCAGTATTAATTGAGCAGTGTTGCTAAGTAGCATTTGATGTGTCTATTTATTTATTTTTTTGGTGACTATGCAAAAGTGTGATTTCGATGGTAATAGAGCGAGTAACGAAGCATGGAGAGAGGAGTGACCAGAATGTTAAAACAACATCAAGAACATCTAATAGGATACAAAAAAAAGGTTAGGATTGGAGGAGGAAGTGCGGTTTAGGTTCTTCGTGTGAGATGATTCAATTTGCGGCGGATGCGGGCTGTTGCTAGTTACGGTCCTGAAGACGGCACAGAACGAAAGAGATATAAGAGAAAGACAAAGAGAGAGTGAAAGAGTAGAAGGATGAAAGAGGAGGAGGAGGAGAGCAGCTCGTTCGGAGTTAATTGTCTGTTCGCACCGTTTTTGATGTATGGTTATTTAATGGACTCTGATGAGAGTGTTTGGACAGCCCTATGGTGTCTTAAACGGGAGCGCCGCGAGGCCGACTGATTTTCATTTGTTACTAATTTCCAGAGAGTCTGCATCATCCAAGAAAGATGAAGAGGAAGGATGAGGAGAAACAAGGAGAAGACGCGTAATTCCATTACCTGGAATCGACCATCGGACACAATGTGGATTTAATTGTCGAGTGCTTTCTTGGACAAACATTAAAAGACGAGGGCTCTGTAAATATTGTGATAAGGAGTCGGCGTATTCGAGTACGCACGTACACATCACCCTCCGAACATCTCTTGCATGCATACTATATAGTGGTAGTAGTACTATGTAGTATATAGTCTGTGAAGCAAACACCGCCGTTCCGCCAAGTCATTACGAATTATCGCGATGGGAAAACCAGATAGATTCAACTATGCAACAACACACGTGAAACAATATTGATTAATATTGAAACGAAATGAGAAACACTCCAGCAACCTGCTGACGCCATTCTTTTAAATAGCGGTCCTCAAACTTTACCACTTCATTCCAGACTGCTTCCTTCACATTCCTCAACAATACCATTTATATATGCAAGTTTATTATATTGCTTCTAACTTCTTCAATAAAAACACATGATGAACAAACAATATTTCTTTTTTAATACAATTTTAACAAATATATTCAACTTCTACAGATTTTTTTTATTTTAAATTTTCCCAGCTTTTCATAGGAAATAATAGGCAATTTTAAGAAATTTTAACCATAAAAAAAATCAAACTTGTTTGTTTAAAAAAAATGGTTAATGGATGTATCGATGAATATGGAGTTAGTTAAGAGTGTGTTTCGATGTTGCGACAGATCTTCCCGAGGCGAAGCGAGTGTAATTGGAGATATGACGGGAGCTAATCTTTATTGACGCAAAGCCCGGTGTTAATGTGGCCTGTAAATACCGCCAACGCGATGAAAAAGCACTCCTAATTGGAGCCAATCGATAGGTCCTCAATTCGTCGTTAAAGATGCATTAAATAAGGATCCAGCGAAAAAAATAATAATAGAGAATTAAGCTCATCTCACTCGTGATCCGAAACTCGCATCTCCATCTGTCCGTCATCGTCTGCACTCTGACTTCGGCATGAGCTTCTTCCTCATCATCGGGTAATTAAAATTAATGACGGTAGTGATGTCGGATGACCTTAAACAGTCAATAAGTATTTTCTAATTCCTCTTCTCTTCGTGTGGGTTCGACCGATCCGGAGGGACCACCGCTTCTTACACAACAGCAACACTAACTTTATTCGAAACTCCAAGTCCGAATTCTGAGCAAAGACACAACTAGATCTCAAATAATCAATAGTCCAATTATTATTATTTTAATTGTTATTATTAATGTATTAACAAATTAGAGACATCCACGGAGTCTCTTAGTCGCATTATTATATAAACATATACATCAACATAAAGGAATCTCCACTGTGATTCCGATTCGATACACTTAATGTAAACAAAGACGAACAAGCATAAATATTCCCATCGATACTCTTATACCTTTACTTCGAATTCAAGTCCTTATTATAAACACATAATGATCATTACACGTACAATCGTAATCAATCATCTCTTTCATATAAACAAATGTATAGGATTTTGTCCCGGTCTTATAATAAACAAAACCATCAATATATACAATCACAACTCCCACCCCGTAATAATAGGAATTTACTTTGTATGTTGAATAAGTATTTAGAATTAGTTTCAGTAAAACATCTAAAGTCTCAGCAGAACCTTTGAGGACAAGCATAGTCTTATAAAAACCTAAAACGAGCATAGTCTTATTCTATCTTTTAAAGCAGCGGTTGCCAAAGTGGTGGTCCGCGGACCACTAGTGGTCCGCGAGAAAATTTCGCTGGTCCGCAGAAAAATGTGGAATATACTTACTCATCATGTTAAGTTATGTTTTAAGATGCATTAAAACATGATTCAATTCATAACAATACGTGACAAATTATAAAAACTTCTGTCGTATACTGTACACACTGGCCATTTTTTTTATAAATATATTTAACACTTAAAAAATCCTATTAGTGGTCCGCGGGATTTAAATTATGAATTAACTGGTCCGTGAGGTCAAAAAGTTTGGCAACCGCTGTTTTAAAGTATCTACATTATCTTGGTAAGGACCCCAAGAGTACCACTTATTATAATAAACTTGTTTAAAACCAATTGAATTAATTAATTCCTACAACTGAGACTCCAGAACGACAACACCAGACAATATTTCACTGTGTCCAAAATTCCATCCCTGGGACACGACAATATCTCGAACGATTTGATATCCGAAATCCTGCAAATTTGCGAGGATTATCATCAACAAACTCATAATTAATAATATAACACTTGAAACAGATACAAATCTGGTTCATATCTATAGAATAACAATAATCAAAAACAAATCACATTTAAAATATCAGATTTATTTCAGCAAATATAGTTATTATCTCATTTAATTACGCACTAGTAATTAAATAAAAAGTGAACGGCGCATACCACAAATATGTCATTGGAAAAGCCAAAAAATTATCTCTAATTTGTATGTTCAATGATACGTAAATAGTGAAAATCCCCAGGAAATGTTTGAGTTTTCTCCAATACCACAAAATCTGTTTTGCATATTAATTTAATGATTTGCTTGTAAATTATAGTAAGGTAATAAACGTGTTCTGTTATTTAAAAATTGTTCGTGATAGAATAAATAAATAGTTTAATTGTAATAAATAATTTATAATAAATATGATCTAGAAATTAATGTTATTATTGTTGGCATTTGTTAGCAGAATGCTCAGCAGACGAGACTTGAATTTCGACCAATCGGACAGTGTTTGAAGTGCAAACAATCATATTAGATTGGGTATTTTCAATCTTCTTAACGTATGGATTTGTTTTAACATTTGTGTCTGTAGGTAATTCATTGGTTTGTTTCTGAATTTCCTCCAAAAGTTTGCTAAGGCATTCGGAATTATCGCATTGTTTAACTTGATCTTCGATAATCTGCACTTGATCCTGAGCTCTCCTCACTTCAACCAATCCCTCCTGGTACAATTTATTGACTAGTTTCTCTTCATCAGCAACGCACACGAACATATCTCTGGTTGGAACAATCGGGATTCGACTGATGAACTTAATAACATTTTGAATGCATTCCGTGATTTCCATGTGATTCAAACGAGAATTGACCTCTCGGACGGTATCTTGCATGAGTTTGAAGGCGCCCTTCACGTTACCTCCCATCACAACGTCGAATTGCTGGTGGATGCGAGACAATCTCTTCGAGTCTCGATCGATCGTAATCTCGACGACCTTCTGCAGCTTCTCCAGCGCCGTTTGGACTTCATCTTGTAACGATAAAGGCTTGGATTGTACCTAGGGAATATAAGAAATATAAGTTAATCTTCTGGTTTATTGTTTTCATATTTCAACTTACGCTGACGGTGAGGATTAGGGCGAAGAAGACTACCAATTTGAGGATAGACATGTTTTTTTTTTATTTGTGAAGTTTTGTGTTTGCGATGGTTGAATTACGAACTGTGCTTAATTTTCCGATCCTTGAAATTGTTTTATATATGTACGTCTCGAGATAAGAGATGATTTTATCATCTTTTATGAATCACGCTACATAATAATGGAATTCCTCGCAACGCTTATAAAATTAAAATATATTCCGCTTTAAAAAAGTAGATCAGATGAGATTTTCGGTACTTGATATTGCGTGTATTGTATTAACGGTGTTTTTTGGGGAGGAATTCTTGCTTTTTTATCAGATCGTCCGCCAGTTGTTAACTAAAAACCGTCACTAATCCACGCATTCATACCCTCCGGTTTGGCATGCTAGGGTTGACACCTCTTCACACTAAATCTCCCTTTTAGTGTGTGTGATCGTCTGACGTGTAGTCAAAATTGGATTAGACTTTCCACTCACGTATCCCTAATTTCTTAATAGCCTTTGTCACTTTTTTTTTCTTGGTCTCAATCTACGTCTACTTCTGATTGCATTTCTTTACTGTATTCGTTATATTTTATTTTTTTTTCTGGTTTGGTTTGGTTGCTTGATTCTCTGGTGAGAAGAGTTTATAATTTTCAGTGCAAATAAATCACGGAACGTTTGCTTCGTTAGCTTTGCTTGATGGACATGTCAATCGATGGAAATGCAGGTGAAGTGGAGAGATTTGATTGAAAATGCATGCGCGATGAACGGGCGCCGATCCGTGCGTAGAATACTAAGAAGTCTTCCGCGAAAGGCCGCCTCCTCAAACCACCACCTCTACCTTCTCCTCGACCATTTCTACCATGGGTCAGGATCTGTGGGAAAAACGAATCAACTCATAGATATGCAAAGTATTTGTACCGCGAATCCGTCACCTCTCCCACACACCGTGCCGAATCCAGATGATTCCTCTTCAGTTTCATCTCTCACTCTCTCTATCGCACTCCTAATTCTTTTTATTTTGTTTTGTTTGGACGATGTCCGTAAGTATGTAGGTTATTCGGCCGCAGTTGAAACGGAGCGACGAGAAGATCGGCCGGACAAGATAACATTAATCATTATTAGTGCGTTCATTGTTAAGTATGACAGAGCAGTTTATATCGATCACGACCCGAAGCCATCGAACCTTCTTTTTCTTCTTCTTCAGAAGATGAGGAGGAGGAGAAGGATGAGGTGGAACGTTAAAATGTCGATTGTAAGGTTTCGCTCTCACAACTCGCTCATATTAATAACCATTTGGATGGTTCACATGACAAAAAAAATAACTGAAAGTTATTACTTTCTTCATTTACAAGCAATATTTTAATACCACTAATTCAGTAGCAGTAATTGTTTAAATACATTAAGAAATAATAAAAATTACATCAAATGGTATTGATTTGTTACATTTAGTTATAAATTACAATATATGAAGGAAACAGTGATTTTATAAACTTCAATATATACTGTAGAAAAATCTCGCATAGTGCGGCTTCGATCAGTGCAAACAAACTATATTGGCCTGACCAATTATCCGCACTATGTGAAGTATTGCTGTACATCATTTTGTGAAATTACAATAGTTGTGTAACCAATTTTCGTGTAATAAAATGTAGTTAATTTGTAATTTGCTGTTTGCACTTGGCGATTTTAGGAATGAAAATGGAGTTTCAATCATCATCAAAACGTCAAGGAGGAAGGAAGAGAAGTTGGAAAAGCCTTTAGCATTCTAATCGCCTCTTGTAAATAGGTGGATACATATGTAGAAGCGGCGGCTCGAGACGCGCTCACATACACACAAGTCTAGAGCTTACAAAAGCGGCAAGAATGTCACCTACCAATTAAACCCAGACAACGAGAAAAATGGTGGTGTAAGAAGACGGAAAGAAAGGAACGAAGAGAGAAGAAAAAATAAATTGGAATAGGAGAAAGATTCGAGTGGAAAGAGCTAATTGCCGATTTTATCTGTGCGATTCGCGGAGTGCACGACTCTTCAGCGCTTGTCACCTATTGGAAGAGGAAAGAGACGAGGACGATGTTTCTTTTATTTTCTTTGACTCCGATCGATGATAAAGTGAAATAATGATTGAATTGTGCGTTCAAATGTTCGAGGCCGTCTCTCCTCTTCACCGACCAAACACTATCGACTCTTTGTAAGTTCTCCTCCTCCTGCACCACCACCTCCTCATGACTGCTCGATGTGCATGTGTTTTCCACTGTGAACCACTTCAAAACGAAAAGAAAAAGATTCGATCACCTTCGCATCTCCAGCAACACAAAAGTCTTCTTCATCTCGCACCTAGACAATAACATTATTCCGAGATTCCGTTGAAGGGTCCTTTCGCAAATAGGACCGTGTATATAGTTCTCTTCAATTTCTTAAGCACTTTATAACAAATTTCATGAAAGCTTTCATCTCATAAATTTATTGAAAAAAATATTTGGATGGAATTCAGTAAGCCGCTCCCATACTCAAGAGATGATGATTCTTTCGCTTGGGTGTGAAATTGATAAAAATTAACATTACTTTATGTTTTATATATCAATTGGTTTAATGAGCAAATTAATCATTCGACCTTGTTGATAGTAGTAATATTTACACAATAATAAATTATAGTCGCAGGTAGTGAATCACTGTTTTTCAAAAACCCCCTTATACGATAACTAATCCACTCGAGATTACACAGATGATCAAAATAAGAAACGGTTCAATCGCGAGTCGATCGATTTCGGAGGAGAGGTAATAGAGCGAATGATGCGAACGGACAGAAACACGACGAATTGTGTTTGTTGCATGCACCCTTCATTAGACCTTCGTGTTTAGTGACAGATGACACACACACACTCAACTGCAATATCACTTACGCAACAGTCTAAAAACAAGAATATAAGAACTAGAAAAGAAAAAAAAACAAAATGAAAAGAATATCGGATGAACCGAAACCCGATTGTCAGCTTATGGCGCTTAATACCATTCAAATCCATCTTAAAAGCCTAGCTCATTTTCTTTTTTTAACGTTGATGTTAACTCAACAATATTAAAACTTAGCATTAATAGCAGCGAAAAAAAAAAGGAAATTGAAGGATACGAAATGAAAAGCTAATGCTTTTAATACGCGTATATTCTTACCTGCGCATTATTTGATTAAAATAATTTTATTCCTTAAGGTTTTTTTTTTAGCAGTTAAATGCACCCGTAAAACGGATATAAAAGTGTCACCTTTTTGGTTTTTCCCTCACCAATTTTTTTTCTCTCCATATTTTTATTAAATGCTATAAACATTAATTAAAAGAAATGCTTCTCAGCCGTTTCCTAGGATTCCCAGCGCTCGCGGTAATAATTGTCCGTGTAATTTAAGCTTTTACAATTAAGAGAAGATAATACAAATTTAACCTTAACTGAAACGTGAATTCTTTGTTTTAACGGAAGACGTTTTGATCCATTGACGTGCACCAAACTTCAATTCATCATTCTACTATCATAAACATGTAATTTACTTCATATATTAAATAATTATTTTTGATTAAGCGACAATTCTATTAATGAAATGATTTGACTTAGATAATTGCAGTATTTGGAAATAATTTGAGGTATCTAAACAATTTAAAATATCTTAGATTTATGTATCAGTTTAATCATCTGATAAAATAACTGATTTTGTATGATCCTTATTGTATTGACACATGTCAATTAAGACAATGATTTTGCAATAGCAATTTTAATTATAATTAAATTTTATTAATTGAAAATACACTTGAAACTTAATAAACAATATAAATTAAAATATTTCTGTATTATTTATTCATCAATTTGTTAATCATCTATTTTGGACACTTATCTAATGATAGAGTTGTGATGTTAGCTTACTTGACACCTGTCAATTAAGGTGACATCTATGGTAATTGTTAGTTTGTAGCGAAGCTCTTCATCGAAGGATGATAATTCGGGGTAATTTTCTGTAATGTTTGAATCAAGATTGAATCATTGTCAATAAAGATTGATCATTTGCAACAAATAATGCACGTAGTGGATTCTTATGCAAAGTGCGAGGCAACGAAATTGCGAGGAGCGCATATTATATCGATAAAAATGGGGGCATAAACATAATTAGGTCTCCTCCTTCTTCTTCCTCTTCTTCTTTTCTCCTCTACCCCTAGAGCGAGATTTGCATTTTAAATTTGGGAATTCGCATGGACAGTTTTCTTCATCTCAACATCAGAACGAAGGACACTCTTGTCGCAAAGCGCAGCAACAATAAACAAATGCACGTAAATAAATTGTTTCAACGAATTATCTTTTTGTTTGTCTCATTTCAGTGTTCTGTTTTACCTTTATTCGTATCCTTTTCGGTTTTCCGTTTCGTTTTAGTTTCTTTTTCAACCTCTCTCACTCTCTCTCTCTCTTTCTCCTCTGTTTTTGTATATATAAGTACATCGGCCCATAAAATGCGAACGTAATTACCAGTGATTACCATAGAAACGAGTGTTTCTTAGCCGCTGCGGGGCTTCGCCATCAACGTTATAATATTTACTGTATCATATTGCATGCGGATACGTGCGAAACATAAACCCTTCTTTCCTCCACTCTCTTATTTAATGCGGAATATATTTTAATAATCAGAATCCAGCGTTGCGAGGAATTCCATTATTATGAGGCATGATTCGAATTGCCGATAAAATCATACACACTCCGTTCTTATCTTGATCCCAATGTACGACATGCACATAAATATAAATCCCAAAAACTGGCCGCATCTCACAATTCGACCATAGCAGAAACAAACAAACTGCTGCGAACGTGTAAACGAAAATCATGTCTAACCTCAAACTGGTAGTCCTTTTTGCCCTAATCTTCACCGTCAGCGTAAGTTTAAATATGAAAGGAATAAACCTGAAGATTAACTTATACTTCTGATTCCTTAGGTACAATCCAAGCCTTTATCGTTACAAGATGAAGTCCAAACGGCGCTGGAGAAGCTGCAGAAGGTCGTCGAGATTACGATCGATCGAGACTCGAAGAAACTGTCGCGCATCCAGCAGGAATTCGACGTCGTGATGGGAGGTAACGTGAAGAGCGCCTTCAAACTCATGCAAGATATCGTCAGAGAGGTCAATTCTCGTTTGAATCACATGGAAATCACGGAATGCATTCAAAATGTTATTAAGTTCATCAGTCGAATCCCGATTATTCCAACCGGAGATATGTTCATGTGCGTTGCTGATGAAGAGAAACTAGTTAATAAATTGTACCAGGAGGGATTGGTTGAAGTGAGGAGAGCTCAGGATCAAGTGCAGAGCATCGAAGATCAAGTTAAACAATGCGATAATTCCGAATGCCTCAGCAAACTTTTGGAGGAAATCCAGAAACAAACCAGTAAATTACCGACTGACACCAATGTTAAAACTAATGCATACGTTAAGAAGATTGAAAATACCCAATCCAATATGATCGTTTGCACTTCAAACACCGTCCGATTGGTCGAAATTCAAGTCTCGTCTGCTGAGCATTCTGCTGACAAATGCCAACAATAATAACATGAATTTGTAAACTATATTTATTATAAATTATTTATTACAATTAAACTATTTATTTATTCTATCACAAATAACCTTATGCACAAATATCAGAACACGTTTATAACATAATTATTATTTACAAACAAATGATTAAATTGATAATAATTGAATGTAAATCGAGAATAGGGACAAATTTGACGAATGTCACGTTAGAAAGACTAAACATTTCTGTTTCCAGCCCCATTTATATGAAAAACTTTATAAAAGCACTTCTTTAATCAACTTACCTGATTTTTTTTATTGCTCACTTATTAAAAATACATCTAGTTTCTATTCATATTACTTGCTGCCGACAGTTTTAATCGTCGAAAGACAAAAATTGAATTAATGATTCCATTTGGAATTACTGGGTTGGAAAGGGTTAATTAGAGTCCTCATTGATAATTGTGACGTGTATAAGAATTGAGCAAATTGATGATTTGTAAAAACAATCAATTGTCGAGGCTTAAAAACATTTTTTCAAATTTGACTATAAATTTCAAAAAATCCTTAGAGATTAGGTTAGGTTACGTTAGGATATGGATTAGCATTAAAAAAAGCGTTTTCTCATCTTTGACTGTAAATTATCTTACGGCAATACATATTTTTAATTAAAGTACTCATTGATAATTGATTGTTATTTATTGTTCTTTTTATTACTAAATGATTTTCGTAATATTGTAAAATAACAAAAATTATTGTATAATAAATTAGAAAGGGTTAGGAGAAATATTATGTTAGTCAATGCAAACAAGGGGACTTGAAAATAGATTGATATAGTTTCAAGAAGCTGCAATGGCTCATCGCGATTATTGCTAGGGATTCCTATTATTACAAAACATGAATCATAGATGTGATACAATCACGTACACACGCCAAGCTTATCTGATTCGCGATGTACGTACTATATAAATCTGATCTGAGCCCACGTGAATAGCATCAAACGCTAGAACCTTTCACGACGATACACATACGTACTACAAAAAAAAAAACAAATCAATTCGAAATGTCTCCGCTTTCAAAAGTATTGCTCTTCATCGCCGCAGTGCTGGTAAGAATTGAATCAAATAATTTGTAAATAATTTTAATTTTATTATTTCCATGTAGATCACGGTTGATTGTAGAGCAACTATTTCATCTGAAGATATTCTGGAAGCTATGATGAAGTTGGAAGAAGTTACGGATGCGTCGATCGAACGCAATTTGAACCGTCTGATGGAATCTCGTAAAGAATACGACGTGGTGATGGGTGGTAATCTGAGGAATGCTCTGAAAAAGATGCGGGAAAACGTGCGAAACTCTATCGACCGTTTGGAAAATCTAGAATCTGAGGCTGGTGTCGATGTGAAGGAATGCACTGAGGATGTAGGAAAGACTATAAGTCGAATCCCAATTATCCCAACGAAGGATATGTTTTTATGCATGAACGCAGAGGAGAAAAATGTTAATCAAGTGACAAAGAAGAGTCAGGAAAGTGTGAAGGATGTGGAGAGAATTGTGGACGAGTTGGAAACGAAAGCTACAAACTGCGGAGATGAACAATGTCTGCAGGATGTCCTCGTTGAAATCCTGGAAACGATCGAATCGTTACCAACGATAGTGAATGTTAAAGGCAATGCAGGTGTTAGGGCCATTGAAAACGTCCAATCCAGCATGATAGAGTGTACTTCGAAAACTATAAATTTGGTGGAGGTTAAGATCTGGGCTGTTGAGTATCATGCAACAAAATGCATAGAAGAGAAATCAAACAAATAGAGAAAAAAAAAACATAACAATAAGAAATATTTATTTTGTCCGTCTTTAAATTATATATATATTTATTTAAATAAACGTATTTTCTTTTTATATATATTTTATTATGTCGTGTAATCTTATTCACAATCTGTTCATCAATGTGAACATTGAGTAAATTTAAGATCGCGGTTGACTTTAGGTAGGTAATCTTTTCCCGGTGGATACTTACCATTATGATGATTTGATTTTTTAATTTGTTGGTTGTCGTCTTGTAGGTTAACTTTAGTAGTATATTGATTCTCTGCGATTCCACTATTTCCTTCGACTGTGAATGTGCTGCTATCCTTAACACTGTCATTGTCCATCGACTTGACTGAAGGTCCATATGCTGAACCTCATTCATTTCACTGTCCATCTATGATGAACGATGGCCCTATTGCTGCAAGCACCAAGGCCTGGCTTTTGACCAGTATTCGAACCGTCGCCATGGGTAGGGCGATTTTTAAACATTCGGCTATTAGTCGCCCTTTTTATATTTAGTGTAATTATTATTGTAAGGTATATTAATTTATTCTATCATAAATTAACGAATTCTCAATTCAGCCGAATTACACAATAATGTTTACAATAGATTAAGTAACTCTTAGTTAATATATTTAAAGTTGCTAATGGATGAAGGAACTTTCTTATGAGAAAATGTATAAACAAAAATGCTTATTATAGACAACCAACTACACACGCTCAAAAAAGGTTCGAGTGTATTTGAAGCACATTTTAATAATTTTACTCGGTCCTCTTTTTATGCGTACTCTTTTTATGCGGTTTTGAAGTTATGCGGTTTTTATTTCAAGAAGCATTTTAGGCCATTTTGACACGTTTTGACACAAATTGGCAAAACATTTCATCGAAAAAGATGATAATTCTGAACGAGTATATCAGGAATTGTAAAAAAAAATATCAAAGCCATCGCAAAGTTTAATCACTGATTATATTGTCAATGGGAAAATATCAACATGCGAAGTTGAGACTAATTTTACTTGTGAAGAATCATTATCTTCAGGACATAGATCTGATATGCTGACTATCTCTTCTAGTAATGAAAGTGATTTCGAACCAGTTCGGAAATTATGCCGAACACTCTCATACAGCTACGATAATACTAAAGAAAAAAATGTGAAGAAAGATTAACTTTCATAAAAATTTTCTGTATTTTTTTTGTAAAATTTTTCTGTATAAATTTAGAAGGAATATGTTAAGATTATATTTTTCTGAAATTTAATAAACTTGTCTATGATTGTTAACGTTTTTATAAAATTATGAATAAACATTTCAGAAAGAATATAGTAAGACTAAATATTTTTCTGAAATTTAATAAACCCTTTTTATGCGATTTTCGGTATGTTGCAACGCATTGATTTAGTTTTAAAAAATTATGTACGTATCTTTTATTTTTATAAGTGTGTCTAGTCCTTTTTTGTGCGATTTATTTTTATGCGTCCTGTGGAACGTATCTGCCGCATAAAAAGAGGACGAAGTGTATATTTTATATACTGATTAGTATGTATACTTTCGTAGATATGATTAATACTACTTGATTTGCTAAAAAGATAAATTATTGCAGTTCAACTGAATATTTTAAAATTGTAAATAATGTAATTACTTCACATATTTGTTTTTACATAACTAAAACTAATATTTAACTATTGATTGTTGCTTGTAAATGAAGAAACGTAAAATGCTTTTTAATAGTTTAATACTTTTTCCAACATTTCAATTCACGTAAATCAAATTCCGATCATTACAAACTTTAATATATATTTCAATCTCAATTCGGGTATCACTTTGTGAACGCACAGAGCGGAATCGACTATAATCTCATTGATGACATGGGAAGCGTACATCTCTTCGCGTTCGCTGCATTCCGAAGCACCACTTTCCAAATTCTCCATGATCGTTTTCATTTCTGAACTTCTCTTCTTCACCAGCGGAGGAACGTAATATCTGGTATTGACGACCCTCATCAGCAAATCACCCAAACAATTATCTGACCCTTTGCAAACCCTCAGATCGCCCTCGAAGATATTCAAAAGAAGGACACGAAAAAAATTAACTTCGTGACTTACATTAATCACAACCCCATCAATTTTTGACTTCTTATCGCTGACGCACTCATTCCCAGCTTCTTTCAAACGATTCATAACTTTCTTCATATCATTATCCAGATTTTGAACGCATTCAGCAACATCCGAACCATTTTCTTTGGCCAATTTCACTAGATATTTGATTTTTGTGGTAGCATTCAAAACCATCTCTTCTGTGCGCTCCAAACTGCCTTCGATCAAACCTTTGACCGATTCGTCGAAATTATCCGCGCATTCGTTCAGATCATATATGGCCTTGACCACTACTTTCATGATATTTTGTTTGGCTTTAGTTATCTCTGCATCAACATCTTCATCCAAGTTGCAGTAGACACACTAAAATTAAATGCAGTTTCTTAAAACACTCGCAGCAGTGACATCTACTTACGCAATTTGAACACAGCAGCAGGATTATTGAGTATTTCCACAACATATTGCTACTATCTTTATAGCATATTAATAGATGATTTTTCGCTTTGCAATTAACTTATATATGTATACAAACATTTAGAGAGAGAGAGAGAGAAATTGAATATGGAATAAAGTACAACAAAATTAATTGTACTGTACTAATTGATGTACAACTGATACATAAACACAATAAAAACCTCCAACTGATAATTACAAACAATTTGAATTACCATTCAAACGATCAATCATCAATTTTTACTTTTAATATTATCTTTTGTTTTTTTTTGTCGAATTAATTCATTCCAATTTATGTACTTTTGCCCTCTCCATTTTTAAATTTACAAATACATTGTCATTTACATTTATAAAATTAGTTTTTCTTAAAATTGTTCCAGTTGTAATGAACAATAATAAAAAAAAAGTTTCTTTTTATCTCTAATTAAATGTATCTGCATGTATTATATCTTTATGATATGCATGAATTACGGAAATGATATAAACGTCTAAATTAGCAATTGGATTAAGAGTAGTTTCGGTTATTCGTGTATTAAGAAGAGTTTATCTTACTAACCTGGTACACATCAGATGATAAATAAATACAAGAAGAGCAATGAAGATAGTTTAAATATTTTTACAAATATATAATAATAATCAAATTTATTGACCAAAAAAACAGATACAAAAGAAAATAAAACAAATTTACAATGAGTACCTTTGGCCAAAAAGAACGGAATCAGTTTTTCCAAATAAAAAACTGTTCTTACTATAGTAAATAAAAAAGGTGAAGATTATATAAATATATAGAAAAATACATAAACACAAAAATATAAAAGAATAGTAGCTGCATAAAATCATCGATAATTGCATCGATTACAAAAAAAATCATATATATATAACAAGAAAAATTGTTCAATTGACTACTAAATATACTTAATGACTTTTGATTTAATTATTCAATAAATCAAAACAAAACTCATTATTTAATTCATATCTCCTTCATCCTCATCCACTTTATCGATTTGGTTAGTGTCTGTTGACACTATTTCACCGGTCGCTTTTATTGATTTCAAACGATTCAAATATCAAGTGATCTTTTGATAGACGTTTTTAGCGCTTCCTTTCCGTTTTTCAATACTTTCAAATCTGTCTAACGTCCCCAACAAAAAGTATTCTATAAATTCAAATGTAATATGATGAATATTACGAAAATCTTTAATTGTTTCTGAGAAAAATTTTAACAACTATTTTAATAAAATATTCAGAGTTTGTAATCTCAAAATTTTGAAACTTTGTTTTATTTCATTTAAATTTGTTTTTAGATAACTTTGTACATTTGTTTCAATATATTTCTTGTTATTAAAGTTGATAAAGATAGAAAATAAAACTTTTTTGTAGAAATCTTAGTATATAAGTGTATAAATTATAGAAATGCATTATTTAATTGTTCTTTAATATATTTTTGATTTATCAATGATTTGCTTAAATGTATAAATTAAAAGAAAAGATAAATTTAAGATTTATAATTATTTATTGATCGATTAATTTACGACATTCTCATAAAGTATTGCGATTTAGATAATTACAATGTCGATTAGAAGAATTTGGTTATTTGAATTAGTGATTGTATTTGGCCAGGATGCGGACACGATCTTCGGACAACAAGTTGCTAACGCAGGTACCG